GTCTTAAATTAACCCTATTTCAATTTTAAAGAATCAAAATGAGAACATGAAAAAAATTAAGAAGTTTACCACATCAGTGAACTGTGTAATACATCTCAAGAACAAAATAAAAATACATAGATATACACAGCTTAGCTTATATATAGTGTGAAAACAGGTAGTAGCAAATTTTCTTTAAAAACTACAAAAAGTGGCACAAATAAAATCAAGGCAATTAGCACACAGGAACTCCCAAATGAATACATTCTTCTTTGTCTACATCAAAATACAAAAATTCTCAAACCCAACTAGATCAGAGAACTAAAATTCAATATTAGGCAAATGAATTTCATGCATGTAGTCCAATCTATAAATAAAGAAAACAAAAAAGAGAAGAAAAAAAAAGAAATAATATACAGAAACTGAATCTTGTGGCAATTTTCTCTATAGCAATCAGAGCAGCTTAGTTTGACCAAATCTGAATTATCAGCACTTGCATACATGCTCACAATGTTTGCAAACATTTAATACAGCTGGTATGGTCAGTCAAAACTTCCTTACACTGGTAAAGTTTGATGTTTCACAAATTAAACTTCTGTGCTGATTTTAATAAGAAAGTGAAACAACTTAACCTGCTTATAATGTGGTTCAGGTGCAGCTCTAAGAAAATACCAAAAGAACTGACACATAATTGATGAACATAAAGCTAACTGCAAACAAATTTTGAAAATGACAGTTGATATATTGCTTGTTTTATTGTTGAAAATGTGATTCAGCATTATGAAATTCTGACCTCTAAATGGGAAGTCATATACAAGTACACCATTCCTGTAATAACTTGTGATTGGATAACTTGTGAACAGGCTTATAATGCAGGTCAGGCCTAAAACCCATTCTGAAAACTAGATAACACCCCAAATATTGGTCACGATTTGTTAAGGTTGAAGACAATCATGATCAAAACATTTTCAACATCATGAAGTTCTCAACTTTTAACAAGTCATACATTTTGTTTAACTTTTTTTCCAAACAACATTTTCAATATGAAGGTAATAGTGTCATCTTGTTATCTACCCTTGTTGTTATCTTGACAATCATCTTGAGAACATACTTTGTGTTTCTTATCTCCAATTTGCAGAGGTTTCTGGTGTATTGCTACAACCAGCTTAAAGTTTGAGAATTAAAAGACATTATGTATGCCAATTTCCAAGCCTGGGGTTCATAACAGCTGTGTATCTTTTTTAGCCCCAAAACTGTTTAGAGATTTCAAAACTGATACCATGTAATGAACTGAACATGTATAAGTTATAACAGGTCACATGTTTGGATAGACAATGATTGACAGCAGGAATCAACTAGGATTACACTTAATGGGGTCAACAGACCATCACAACTTTAAAATGGCACCACCATGAAATGATACTGGTCACAACTTTTTTCTCACAAAATTGTTTTGAGTATAAATACACCCTTAAATTGTTTTAAGACACCAAATTATTACAGCAGAATACAGTATTATTTTGTCCAGAGAAAGAATAAATCAAAATTGTTTTATAATTGAAAATAATGAATCTATTATAAATGACAGTATAATGAATTATTGTTAATGTTCTAATACAAATAAGTTATCACACTTTTCATTTCTTTGAAATAATAAAGAGACAAAAATATGTCATTTGTCTCATGGTTTAAATATGACAAAATCATCCCAATGTATTTTGTTGAATACATTCATATTGGAATTTATTCTCAAATGACAATGTTAAGAAGATTAAATAATAATTGCATTATGATCAATAGAATGGGTGGGTTCAAAATCTGCAATTACTAGTCTTATCTTCAGGCAAATTGCTATACATAGAATAAAACAAATATCAGCATGATGCATGTTTGCCTTCTGGTAAGTTCCTGTTGCTTATCTGGCATATTTTATCTAGGTACTTGCTTATCAGTTAGTCAACTGCAAACAACAAAGATCCTGGTCATGAAAGTGCATAACACGTATTCAGATCAGGATCTATATTGTTTGTTCTACTGATAATCTGATTACTTCTAACAAACTTCACAGACCCAGATCTGTCAGCAAATTATGCGACAACAGTTTTGGGTCTGTGCAGTTTGCAGTTGGACTAGACTTATAAGCAAGTATAAAAGTAAATGAATGTGATGAAAGTTCTCAGAAACAAATTGTCCAAGTATATATACAACTTGTCCACAACATATGGTGCTTCAATGATAGTATAGCATTTCCATACAAGTATCAATGATATAGACATTTCAAAATTTAGCAACTTTTGTATTGAAATAAGTTGTGGCACATTCATATATCAGGAGTGAGTCAATTCCAGTCTTTATGTACTGCTGTGTTACATCATTTTTCTGATTACCAATTACCTTTTTTTACAGCACCAACAGCAAAACCATTTCTCTTTAAATTTAAAATAAATCTGCATAAATAAATCAATTTCTAATTGTGAAAAAATGTATAGCACTATACACGAGCCTACTTTGTACATGCATTAACAAAATACTTCAAACATTAAGCAAATCTGGATTTTACTGAAAAAAAGTCGTAAATCAATTTTAAAAGAATCCCTGAAAAAATACAAGATGTCCTCTATTTGCATTTGTAAAGTTTTCTTACAATTCTGACATTTTGCAAAGTTCTCAGTATAGATTGCTCTAATATGCCTCTGCAGAAATCTCTGCACTTTTCGTCTATAATGTAGAACTTAGTACTTTATGGATGTTTTTTTCTGTTCAAACCAAGGTGTTGTTTATTTTTTCCACATAAAATATTGAACATTTCAAACCACATTCATTGGTCCAATCCAACAAACAATATTCTAATAACTCCAATCGCTTTTAATACAATATTTCTAGTATTTCTATAAGTAATCATGGAAAGAGCAAAATTAAACAAGATATAATGTTAATGCTGAAATATAGAAGCAGTGTCATCTACAAAATATTTATCATTAAGATTCTCTGGTTTACTATGATCTTACAATGGGAAACTCGCTGGCATAACAATATGGAATGGATGTTATTTCTAGTGCAAACTAAGTTTCCAATCGCCATGTTATTTTCTCATTCAGGCTATCATTTGCCCACATGTGAAAATTTGTGAACATTTTTTGCATTTTCTCCAATATGTGACAAAATGAAAGTGTTGATTTGTTTTTATTTTAAAAATTGAATTATTCTTGATTATGACTGGCTTAAGTTGGATATTAGGATAAGTGATTACATGATTATTAACACAGCTTTAACAAATTTTTAGTCATATCGCTAAGATGCCTGCAGTGTAGCAGTTTATAGTAATTTATAGCACTGGGGCATCATGCCACAAACATGTAGCATTATGTCCCACCAAGTCACATTATCCTGACTAGTCCTAACACTAACCTCTTAATGCTGCACATCAAGAAAGGCAACTATTAGTACCATTTTTTGGAAGTCTTTGGTAAGATTCAACCAGGGATCGAATCTGAGGAGGACGCTTTAACCACTAGGCCACCGGAGCAGTCAATTAGGATAAAGTAGCATTGCTGGAACTACCAAAGGGTGCTGATCGGTGTCTTCCCTTGTGTTAAATTGTTTCAGGTTAGACATAAAATTTCTTTGTAACAAATCCCTGTGTGCTTGGGTGCTTGATAGTCTATTTCTTAAAATGTGAATGATAGATTCCTTTTAAGATAAAGTCATTTAGTCGAAAGGTGGTTGATAACTCACTCTTGCAAACTCAAAAAGATTCTGTCAAAAAAAATTGATTATTATGAAACAACTAAATCCTACAACTATAATAATGCGAGGTTAATATTATGAAAGCCTATTTCTTCAAAAGGAAACGAAAAAGTTCACATTGAGATGAAACTTTGCTTTAAAGATTTAATAGGCAAATACTTTTCACTAAATCTTTAGCAAGTGTATGTTTTATTTAGAAAAATAATGGAAGGATACAAGTCTTAGAAAAGAAAAAAAAAGCGTTATTAATTGTACTGTAGGAATGTGAAAACACGTGTAACAATTGTGATTGGATTATTCATGTATTATAGGAATGATCAAAGCATGATTTCATCAGTCACTTTTGAAGATTTTCCCTTCGTAACAGAAACCCGATAATTCTTTAAAACGGACAGCTTAAAGGTGAATCAAAGATTTTGCGTCTCATTAGCCGGGCGAATTCCCTTTCCTCTCCCCCTTTTCCGTCATTAATGAGGATAAGAAAATTTGTATTTAAGACTGCGGTGGAAACATTGGCACATGGTAAATGATTTTCAGGTAGATTGTTAATTTTTCTTCAATCACCTTCGTTTCATCAATACATAAGACAATAAATGTCAGTAAATTCAATTTGTTATCTTTCATCTTGGCGCTCACCTGCATCAATGTCGGCCATGATGGCTAAGGCAAAAGATTTAATCACGTGACATTCCCCAGATGGCGCTATTGTTTGTTTATAAACAAGGAAAAGATCAAAATGGAGACATACTGTGTATTGAATATTTTATACCATAGTAAGGCCCTTTGTAAGCTTTTTTGTTTTTATGTTTTTAATTAGTTTAACTGGTCAAATACCTTATGAGTTTGTATGCTTCCCAGCTGCCCATCTGTCTGTAATCACACGTTTGTTATTATATATCGTAAACTGATTGAAGAGAATTGCCACGAGAAGGTTATAAACGTTAATGCAAAAATATCGTAGCTCACGGGACTATGGTGACGTGAACGCGTATAGTCATGTGTGTGTGTGTGTGTGTGTGTGTGTGTGTGTGTGTGTGTGTGTGTGTGTGTTTAACGTAGCTTTAACACATTTTCCAGTCATACCACTAAAATGTCTGTAGTGTAGCAGTTTATAGTTATGTCTAACTCTGGGGCATCATGCCGCATACATATAGCATGATGTCCCACCCAGTCATATTATCATGACACCAGGCCGATCAGTCCTAACATTGACCTCTTAATTCTGAGCGTAAAGAGAGGCAGCTGCTGGTACCATTTTTACAAGTCTTTGGTATTACTCGGCCGAGGTTGGAACCTGCGACCACACGCATCCGAGACGGACACCCTAACCACTAGGCTACTGGAGCGGTAAAGAGTCATGCACTTTTAAAGTTCTGTAAGAAAACAACACCTAGACAAGTTAACATGCGAGCTTGCCAGCATTCTGATATAGGTGAATATTGTTGTTTTGTTGATTTTTGTTAAACACGAGGCGTAGAAGTGTAGTCGATTTTGTAATATGTAATCAGTCATTTTTACCTTTGTTTGATTCTTTTCTTGTGGGCCCACTGAGTTGTTATTCTGATCATTGTGCTATAAATTTTAATATGAAATTAAATAATTCTAGTATTAATCCTGAAACGTGCTCTTGTACTTTTGATTCGAATTATACCTCGAAGCCTGCGTAATTAATTTATTGATAAATAAAGCCCCCCACCAGAAAAGGATAATTTCGATGAACTGCTGAACAAAAATTGTGCAATGTTAAAATAAATCATAAAATTTTCGATTACGAAATTCTCAGAGATATTTAGTTCGGTGACAAAGGGTCTACATCAAAAACTTAGAATGTCTAAACATATTCATAAGCGTGACCATTCGATTTCGAGTCTAACTTGTTTTGATGGTAAATGTAAAAGCAAACGAACAATTTGTATGTGTAATTGGAATGCGTCATAGAAAATGCTTGCCTCTCTTCTTATGTTCAATGTTTATTAATTACATTAACAAAGAATCTATTAACAGGTACTGACATAGGTATTCTACACCTGCTTATGATTTTATAAGCAAATCACCTAGTAATATTTTCTGAGTCAAAACAGGATCTGTAAAAAGGACTAAGTCCTCCTAGAATAGTTCGTGCTAAGTGGCGCCTTAAAATTAATATAAATAAAACAAAAGTGATGATTTTCCGAAATGGAAAACGAATATCAGCTGATTCTTTATTCTTCAATCGAGGCTTGCTATATTTTTTTAACACAATTTGAATTTATCGAAATTGTGTTTACGAAGAAGGTGGTGAATAATTTCTAAACAAACTTTAAGTGAATAAATGAATATGCAAGCTTCAAAGCGATTTTTATTTGCAATGAATACAAATATTTATGCGAGCTTGAAAATATGCCTCGGAAAGCGAAATATGAATTTTTTCCACACTAATTTCACAAATTCTTAATTATGGATCAGAAGTATGGTGATTCATTGATAAAACTGTTGTTGAACGGGTTGTACTTAAATTTGTGCAAAATCTTCTTGGGGTTAAATTTCTACCCTAAATGATTTTGTACATGGTGAATTGGGAAGGACCTCTTTCCAGATCTGTAGATATTACCAAATTTTGAATACTGGATTAAGATTATCTTCTCATATAATAGAAAATATGTATCTGTAATATAGAAGCCAATGTTTAAAACCGTCTTGGAAATAAAAATTGGGCATCTTTAGTCCGGAATTGATTAAACAGTCTGGATCTGGGTGAGGTGAGGATAAATCAAACTCTTAAGAACATAAAGGTTTTTTTTTATCTCTAATCAAACAACGGCTATCTGGTCATTTTATTAAATATTGGCAATCAGAAGATCAATATGGCTTTGTTTTAGACGGCCAATATTATCTGCCGATAAGAAAGAAACTCTGGGGAGGTCCTAGGGCACTGAAATTAATGAAATTACTCAATTACAATAAAACTGCTGATATTAGAATCTGGGAAATTATAAACATAGATCATTAATTGAACGTAATTGTATGATGAATATTACCCAAGTTATATTCTCCTTTTAGTTGTTTAATACATACATTACCATACCATAAATCATGTACAATGTATGAGTGTTCATGGGAATATGGGGTATGTAGACGTAAGTACATCTTTAGTAGAACATTTGTAAATTCGATAGGTTTGTTTATCATTATGTATTAATCATGTGTCGCCATCAATGTTTGTAACAACTATTTATGTACATACTTATGGCCAATCAGCTTAATGCAACAAATTATATATATATATATATATATATATATATATATATATATATATATATATATATATATATATATATATATATATATATATATATATATATATATATATATATATATGTGTGTGTGTGTGTGTGTGTGTGTGTATATATGTATGTATGTATGTATGTATGTATGTATGTATGTATGTATGTATGTATGTATGTATGTATGTATGTATGTATGTATGTATGTATGTATGTATGTATGTATGTATGTATGTATGTATGTATGTTCCGATTATCGATTATAATCGATCATCAGATGGTTGAGCAAACCATCAAGATAATCGGTTGTGAAACTTCATAATCGGTGGTACGTGAAGGGTGACTATTTCTTTTTAGTTGCATGAGAAACAAAGAGTTAGTAAAGCACCTGTTTAAATTGTAAACTAAATAGGGCCTCCAATCGACTAAATTATGTATTCCCTTCACAAGTTACAAATATAAAACAATATCATATTATATTGGTAGATTCAAATTAAAGGACGAGATAGTCATGATTACATGATTAAGCAGTTGCATTGTGGAGTTAATAAACTTAAAACACATTTTCATGATTTGTTTCAATGTAAAATACATTGTAGTATATGTAAATAATCACAAAAAACGTGTCCTTATATACTTTAAATTACAGATACATCACATATGAATGAAAGGATTTGGTGGTTTGCAACAGTATTTCAGTTACACAAAGCTGATCAGCCATAAAAAGATGTTTTCCTTTAACAAAGTTGTAGAACAAACATAACTCAAAGCAATAAAAACAATGTAATATTTTTATCAAGTTAAAGTATGCATATCATCAAAAGAGATTACTCCTGTACATTTATTACCATTTTGAACCCTCGAGCAAAGATATAACTGTATATCAAATAAAAACTAAAATTTTATCTTAGTAACCGATTATATTTGATTATCAACAACAAAACAGCAAACTAGATTGATACACTCCTTAGCCAGCATATGCTCCAAACCTACGCATGCTGCCGACTGCGGAGGAGTTAAATAATTGTATCGTCATGCTAAAACCAGGCTGTGCAAGATTACAAGAACAATCGACGAACACGTTACTCAACACATTTGACAAAAATTGTCCACAAGGCAAACCACGTAGCTCAAACTGATCTGCGATGGAAATCGTATTTACCAGATATCTCATTTAACATCGTACATCGTGGGTTAATAATATTTGTTCTGTATCATGGACGTGTTTTAAAGTCAGCTTAAGTAGTTGATTTTAAAACAAGTTCAGAGGTAGTGGTTTTGAAACAAACTGGCAAAATTCCTCTGCGATAGTAAACAGACAAAGACGCCTAATTTCTGAACCAAGCTTTTCAAACAGAATTTTAAAAATACATTAATTTTGTCACCACTTAAAAACCTGCTGTAGAACTCTCTCAAAAACTTCTGAAAGAACATATGTTTGAATATTTTACACATCAAGACACTCTCCAATACATCGAAATGCTACCATGTTTACTTAAAGCTTGCTATCAATCAGATCATTGTAGCATCGGATATGCACTAGAAAAGACACCAAAAAAAAAAAAAAACCCAAAACACAACAAAGTGATGGTGTTTAATGGAACGTTAAAAACCAGAAAAAAGAAACAAGTGTTAAACACCTGATTGGGTTACGACTGGAAAAATGTACTATTGAGAAAGGTTATTTATCTAATTGAACGACAAAATTGTTTCGTGTCACTGGAGAAGTATGGAGTCGTGATTCTCCTGTCTGTTAGTTTTCGAGTTATGAATAGATAAGTATTTCAAGAAACTTTTAGCTTGCCCGAGTAACAATGAATGACCACAAAAGCTGACCTGTATCATATCGAAAACGTTTTCGATTCTAGAACATGTGATGTGGGGGAAATTTCGACTTAAGTGAATGTTTATTGGAAATGTTATCCACATATTTTCGATTCTTGGTTAGTGTTACGGCCCTGTATTTTAATTGTTTGTTTGTAAAATTTGAAATCCTTTTATTTCATCTTTGAATCATTTTGTTTTATTATGATGATAATTATTATTCGCGGGAACTGATATTTTGGTAAGACTATGCTTTATTAGAAAGTAATTGATTCTAGGTTTTCATAAAAGTTGTTTAGATATAAACAAACGACGTAAATGTTTTTATATCATATAATACGCATTGTCTGATGATCAGATACCATGCTTAATCCATGCGAGTGCACCACGTAATGACAACTCAGTATTAGTTTAAATAGACTTAGGTCCCTGTGAAAAGGAGCAGTCATATAATATATCTTAGATGTTTAGTAGTCATTATCTTTCAGCTGTGTCAGAAGCAGTCAAGCAACATCTCTCAGCAGTGTCGTAGTAAATTGTATGTTATGCCCTGAGAAGAATTTATATATATATATATATATATATATATATATATATATATATATATATATATATATATATATATATATATATATATATATATATATATATTGTGCTGGATTAGAGTATTATAATATACCTTATAGAAGATTGGTATATTTTCTTTGTGCCGGAAAGAGTTAAAATCTTCATTACATTTATAAATCTAGAGACGTATCTTGTTATAGATGTGCCTTGACAGCTATAAATGTTCATCTACCCATTCAATAATAATGTATTCCCTGGAGAACTATATAAGGAATTTAGGACAAAAACTTAATTGAAATCCATTTAAATTGGAAAAAGTGCAGTACGAATTGTGGTTCAACGTGAAATTATGAACATTTGTTTAAAGACTTCATCTGACATCATCATCCTCCATCTTAGGAACAGCGTGACTTTCAAACAAGACTGTTAGAACATTTTATTAATAGGACTCGTATACATTCACAATTCTAGGATAAATATTTGGGATGTTTATTCACGAAGCACAAGTCCTGTTTTACATTTTTCGCCTTTTATACCGTGTTTGCTAGGGAAATAAAATTATCTTTGTTAAAACTTACAAAGTTTGTTGTCTCCACTATTTTCTTTAGTTACCCTGAGTGGTTACCCCTCCCGCTGCTCGTATGACAGATATTCACAACAACGATCTATTCAAAAAGTATTTGTGCTAAACT